AGGCAAGTTGAGTTTACTTTTTTGATGTCACATTTTTTAAAGTTTAAAGTTAATCATACATATGGTGGTGATGAGCCGAACAAAATAAACTTTTGAACATCTTAGATTTTAAATCCCTTTTGTCCTCTAGAGGGAGCTGTAGGCGTCCAAAGCTATTGCTACTATGTCCTCTCAACCTATCTTTTGTGTTCTGTCCTGTAGAAATATCCTGTACTGCCTTACCTGGTCCTGGTGCTGAAGCAGTTCCTACTGCAGAGAGACCTCAATGAGGTTTTTACCGGTGGAATTGGCTCCTACAGTCTGTTTCTCATGGCTGTCAGCTTCCTGCAGGTAAGTTGCACATGGTCATGAACAAGAGCTCTTAATGTTTATCAGTGCACTATTTATCTTTTATTTTTCTCTGTAAAACTAGCGATAGCAGTGGCATTGTTTTTTCAGGTTAATTTGGGAATTCATTCTTTAGTTATGACAACTTCCCACATATGTGTGAAAGGTTAAAATAAATAAAGTAATGACATATTTTACCTAGAGGTCAATAGTCAATTTAACTGTGACATCATAATGTCCTGGAATAACACTTTTCTGGCCATTATATCCATACCTTTATTTGAAATGAAACGTGTCAGCAACTATTGAAGACAATATTTAGAATTGGATCAATTTTAGTAGTAAATCCCACTCACTTAAGCATTTGCAATAACTGACATGCACTGTGTGTATTTTCCAGCTTCACTACAGGGAGGATGTCTGCAGTCCCAACATCAACATCGGTGTCCTCCTCATTGAATTCTTTGAGCTCTATGGTCGCCACTTCAACTACCTGAAAACAGGTATCAGGATAAAAGATGGCGGTTGCTACGTTGCCAAAGATGAGGTTCAGAAGAACATGATGGATGGTTACAGGCCCTCCATGCTCTACATTGAGGACCCTCTGCAGCCAGGTAGAAACATTGAACATCAAAGGTCGAGGGTAGTGGTAGAGGGTTCTTAAAATTCCAATACTGTAGCAGCATCTATTGGCATCTTGTCTGGTTCACATATTTACATAAATCTGTCTCGTGTCCAACAGATAACGATGTTGGCCGGAGTTCATATGGTGCCATGCAGGTGAAGCAGGCGTTTGACTATGCCTATGTGGTGCTCAGCCACGCCGTGTCCCCAATCGCCAAGTACTACCCCAATAATGAGAGAGAGAGGTAAGGAGCAAAGTTAGGCACCTGTTTGATGCTAAAGAAACTGTTCTGTTTTGAATCAAGGGTTGATAAATCACAAATTCTCTCGTAGCAATTTAGTGTAGTGTTGCAATATCCAGGCCTTGTGTTTCGAATCAAACAAGATAACACTAAGTTTTTCAATGTTTTGGTTTTGGTTCATCAAGGTTGGTATTATTTGATCATACTCAGAGCATCAGGTTGTTTCTAGTAACTTTTGCTTTTATTCTGCTGAGTTAACACGTCTCTTTTTCATTGCAGCATACTTGGCCGAATAATCCGTATAACACAGGAGGTGGATGAATACAGGGAATGGATCAGAAAGAACTGGGGGAGCCCGACTCAGAATGATCTGCCACTCAACAGTATGTTCAAACTATGACAAAAACAATATTTTTTAAGTCCTATTTAAAAAAAGAAAAGGAAAAAAAAAAAGGTTAAGAAGAGATACCAAAGAGAGTGTAAAGCTGCATACTTCCTGGTCAGTCGAACCTGCACTACAGCAATTCTGGAATGATAAGACAATTGTCCCTTTTCTGTCTCTCTAGGAAACGATGTCAAACTGTTTGAGTCCCAGCAGCTCGATGAATGCAACAACAACAACGTTCCAGATGATGATGACGACGATGACGTTGTTGTTCTGCCGTCGGCTCCCCACAGCAAAACCTCATCCAACTCCTCCTCGCCATCACCTTCACTGCGATCCTCTCCCTCCTCCTCCCCGCTGTCGCCTTCTTCCACATCCTCAGCCTCCAGCTCTAGCGATGCGGTCAGTCTTGGCTGATGACGCACACACACACACACACACACACAATAACACACTCTTACAGCTTCATGAGTAAACCTTCTTGTGACAAATTGTTTTAGTCATACTACCTACTTATACATTTTGTCGGTTTTCTCCAGGACTCTGATGGCACACCGTGTAAGACAGCCAAGCAGCAGCCCAGCCGGGGCTCCAGCACCCACAGAGAAAAGTCTGCTGCTGTCAACAATCACCGAACACAGAGCCTCAAAACCAGCACTCCATCTGGAAACAACAAGGGAGGAAAGGTATGCTAGGTTTCACACATACAACACATAATGCATCACAAGGTTAAAAAGAAACAGAAATATAAAATGTTTGTCCCTGAAAACAACTCTTGTGAGCATATTTTTTAGATTTTTAGATATTTTTAGGTTTTCTATTTTTTTTAAGAAGTTTGTCTGATGAAGGGTAATAAACCAGTAAGCTGTAACAAAAATCCTGCAGGTACATTCAATATTCTTTCTGTGGTTCTGTCCCCAGGCCAGGACGCCTCGTTCCCACCAAAAGAGTGGCCACCACGGGCAGCAGAGTGCCTCCTCAAGCACCAAAAGTCACCAGAACAACAAACCACACCACCAGGGCAACAGCAAAAAGAGGAAAAATGTGCGAGACTCTACACAAGATGACCTCTGCAGATAGGGGTGACCTCAACTGTCCCCACCTCTCATCCCTCTTCCCCTTCCTTGTCTGCAACTGACTGACTGTCCTGTCCACTTCTGCTGCCAGACTCCAGCCTCAGGAGGTTGATAGAAGTATTAAAACATCTGCAGTTTCTGTCTCTCTGTCAAGCCTTTGGGGATGACAAGCAACAATTTCTAGCAGAAAAAAAAAGAACAAAAAAAGAACTGTTATAGGAAATGGGTTCTAATTTCATGGACCTGAACTGAAATCACAAAGGATAAACCCACATTTGCTTCCCAAGAGCCTCTTTTATGGAGTGTTTTTTTTTTCATTTCCACAGCCAGCAACTATACATCACGGCTTTTTGCGCCTCCTGCTGTACAGGAGTAGACATGCTGGGTGCCTGGAATTTACTTTACAGCAATACATGGGACTGCTGGCTGGAAAATAGGATCAAAAATGTTATCAAAAAAAAAGAAGAAATTGCTTAAAATGTACAAAAACAAAAATGTTGAACAACAGATGAATATCTACACATATTTCTTTTTTTTTTTAAATGATAACTTACAAATGCAATCAGTAAGAATGGGACATAACTTATGCATGAGATTTTTTTCGTTGGTTGATTTTTCTGTTTGTTTAATCTGTTTTGTTAAGTCTCAACAGGTTATACAAAGATTTGTAAAAAAAAAACTAAAAAAAACACATAAGCAAAAAAAAAAAAACAGTTAAAGAATACAAGTAAGAAGAAAATGTTTCATATTACGTTTTTACAAGATATACCGATTGAAGACATGTAAACGTGCACATGTTGTGCCCCCAGCTTTTTGGCCAAAGCTGAGAGCTGGTTTGGGTCTCATTGCCAACATAAATCATCAGCATCTACTTTTACTCCTGTTTGCTCTCTGTGAGTGTGCTACAGTGTTAACAGTTAGCCTTTAGTGAGCCAGTGCTCACATACAGCCCTATAGATGTCTGGAAGGAGCCCAATAGCACAGCCACAGTTTAGACGCTTTAAAGATTAGAAGTTTTATAATAAGGAGGAATGATTATGGTTTTATTGAGAAATCCTACACTTGAAAAAATGTGTTAACAATACAAACTGTGGGTGATAATCTGTTTCTTTGGTAATTTACCCAGAATCATTTGTATTTGTCAAATGTATTTATTTTTTATTAATTATATGAATATAGTATGGATAAATGTATGATTAACATTAGAGCCCATATCTTTGAGTCCTATATTTGAAAAATGAGCGTGGAGGTGTGGTGGGAAGATACATTTTCTGGTACAGTAATGTTATCTTTTTTTTTTTCCAGTAACAGTTGAGTGACCAAGTTACTTTGCAAAGTTTAAGAGACCCTTTTACTCTTCTGAAGGGAGTGAAACTTTTGTTTTAATGTGGCTGGTCTACTTACTTTAAAAGGGAGCTGATTTTTATTTTATTTTATACAACTATCCTAGCAACAAACACTTGATGCCCGCCTGCCCACCCTCTATTGGTGGAGTACATCTACTAGCCTGTAGATGGAGTTATCGCTCCAAGTCTTCAGTCCACAGAGTTTGGCCTTGTATACTGCATTTGGACGGTTGAAATTTTTGGGGTTTCTTTTTTGTGATTGACTGACATTTCAACTTAAAGACCAGCTGCACACAAAACACCCTTGAGCTGAGTGCTTGTTGGAGGGATTGACTCACCAAAGCACACCACAATCCCTGTTTATGGTCTCTCTCTGAAATGCTACAAAAACTGCACACAGTAAAACAAAACAGGAGCCGCAATAACAAGAAAAACCACAATGTAATATACCTTTACTCTAATGCACCTACAGAATGCCATGCTCTCAGCTGACTAAGTTTAGTCTCCTGTGTTAAGATAGTAAAGCACATTTGATAAGTCAATGCTTGAACATACAGCCTACTAGTGTTGAAAGTATGGGTTCTTGCCCCCCAACCCCCCCATCTCTTATTGCTACAGTTGAGGTTTAAATGCAGTATATAAGCGCTGTTCTCGTGGCAGACGAACAAGGAGAAATGAAGTTAGCCTTGCCATCTGAAAGTCCACTGAGCATTTTCCTTCACTGCAGGAAGGCTTCAAACCCAACTGTATTCATCTGAAACGTTGTTTCTCTGCAGCTACAAGTCATGCAATAAAAACTGTACAATTTCGCCTCGTGTTGGGACATGCTTTTCTTTCTCTTGTCTTTTTTAACACGTGTATTGTCACTGGGGGTCAGAGTGTAAATGTTTTACTTCAAAACCCTCATGGCATGACTGTCTGGGACGTAAATTGATGTTCAAAGTAAGAGCGGGTTTGACAGAGTAGAAAGGGGAGGGGCTTCCTCGCTTAGAGCAGCGCGCGCGCGCGGACTGACACTTGGAGAGGAGAAGAACGGAGACCACAGCACGCGCTCAGGTTATCGTTGTACATTTGTGTACGGGACGGGATATAATTCTGTCAGGTAAGGCTCAAAAGCTTTTGTTTTTATTAAACGTGTGTCTTGTTGAAGCCGTATACTGTACACTACTATACCATGTGGCATACGACACTGCGCGTAAAGACGAAAGGTTCACTGCTGCTTCGCCAAGACAGTCTAAAGACGGATTTACGAGCCAAAGAGAAAGTTTTCATTCTCTTTAAAAGCTTTTGATTTGGGTCGAAGGCTTTCAATTCTCTGACGTTCAATTTTGTGATTTTTTTTTTTTTTTTTTAAATCTCGTTTTCTATTTTGCCCTTCACCTGGCTCCTCTTGTCATCCACAGTCTTCATGCTAAAAGGCTGCTTACTTTGGTTCACTTCAATTCAGCTTCCGTTATTTAAATGCCAACATTGCATACGAGCTACCTCAGCGATAAATTGACGTTTATTTTTGTTGACATCCTCGAGGCAGTTGTCCAATATTAATATCGGGTTTTAAATGTGTTAATTTCCTTTCATCTTGTAATCCAGTCTGAACTCACAGACGTGTCAGACGGCTATGATTTGAAATACAGGATGGAGCAAAAATAGTTTGTGAAACCATGCTGGATTTTCATCCTGTCCTGATGCACCTTCATTGTGATGCTTTCTTTTGGGTGGGATAAAAGACATACAGTGCAGAGGGATCAAGACAAGACTACCTCTCTTCATGCGTCGTTTTTTCAACTATGAAGAAGTGGTCCTGACTTGAAAGAGTTTATCTCTTCATATCACTTCCTTGTACATCATGCTCAGGGGCTTAGCAGTTTTGCAGCGCCTGGGTGCCTGTACCCTCGCATTTTAGAGTTCATCTCATAAAACAGGCAATGTTGAGCAATACAAACGCAAGATGACTTTCATGTTAAATAGAGTGAATTTTGCACTACAGTGCTGTGCCATTAGTTGTTGGGAGACAGCAAAGTAATTTGCTTTTACAGATTCAAAATAAAAGTCATAAAGTTTGTGCAAATGTAGTGGTGGTCTATTTCCAGTGTGAATGCATGATTTTAACAACTATTCAGTAGGATCTGGACATGCAAACAAAATAAATCTTATTTATTCTTTAATCTCTTTATTCTGATGATAATACTTTACTTCACCTCCTTACATAAACACAGCTCAATACCTGCACAATATATAAAAGCTTCCTTTGCAGCTACCCTTTGCTGTAATGAATCATGTGTGATAATAATTATAATAATAATAATACACATATATATATATTGATATATATATTTTACAGCTGATCAATCAATTACTTATAAGCAGCAAGTGCTCACATTTGGAAAACACCAATGGATATTTTGCATTTTTCAGTAAAAAAAAATTGCTATATATATGGTATATTATGAAATTGAAAAAACGACTTTTACTGTCAAGCTTTTAAAAAATCTAGGGGGGAAATATGTACATATTATCTAGGGGTAAATGTAACTTTTCTTCAATGGATGTTATTCCTGAGACTTTAGACATCTTCATTAAGTTGAGCAACAAGTTAATGGAAATGTTAAGGTTTCTCAACGGCGAACAAACATTTTTTTAGTTGTACAAATGCACAAATGTTTTATCATCAGAAAATGACTCTACTCCTGATTAAATTGCTGAAGTGTAACAGCGATTTTTCTTCTTTTTTTGTTGCAGTTTAAACTGTTTTATGTTCGCATTGAGTGGAAGAAGGACACGTGTTAACGCTGGGATTCAATTACGAATGTATTTCATAATGCAATGCACATACTTTCAGTATTTTTATCTAATGTTTTTGTCCATATAGATCATACATAGTGTCATGATGGGCATAATGATGATGGTGTGTGTGTGGGGTGCGTATCAGTGGGATGATTACATAACTCATTCTTTTGTTAATTCTGCAGTATTAAACAGAGGAAGCTGTTGATGTAGATAGAGCCCTCACATTTTAATTATCCTGCCAGCATAGGATTTTAAAGTCAGTGTACTTACCCTGTAGAACCAAACAGATCCGTTAGATCAATGAAACATGTATAGAGTGTGAAAAATCAAATGAGAGGGCAAGCAGTCTATTGGTTTTGAAGTATGACGTTCAATTGTTCCAACATAATAATAGTGAGCGGTTCCATAGGAGGCTGGGGTTAAGTTCTTGGTCATGGATCAGTGGCTCAATGCTCTGCTGTGAGGCCTAGCCTCTTCCATAGAAAATTAGATTGTGACACCATTCACTGGCATTTGCCTTTGGTGTGCAATTATCCATTATCATGCTGTGACGTATCTCATTCTGACATGATGAGAACACTGTAGTAATTGTTTGTTTTATTAGAATAAATGTACACTTTGATGAATCCAGATCGGGACTGTCTGTTGTGAGTTGTGCAGCATTGTGATACACACACAAACAAAAGAGCAATCCTGGAATGTATATGTGCTGCTTAGAGTGATGCATAGTCTACTGTCTTTATAGTTTTTTTGTGATGAGTCTCTTAATAACCAGTGGTGGAGTTGTTTTGTGTTTCTTTTTTTCCTATGTCATGCAGCATCAGCTTACCATGACGGCAGTTTAAAACAGTGGTTCTCAAAGTCATTAAAGTACTTTCAGGGGTTTGTCAGCTGGGGTTTTCCAAAAACTTAACATTTATTCCAAAGAATCTTAAATGAACTTCCTGGACTGATGAATTGTTTGAAGTCATTGACATAAAGTTAATTGGGTAATGTTGGCTTTTTGGGACTAATGCACATAGCTTCAAGTGTCTTTTCTGTCAGTCTGAATCCCTTGCTTCACTGTTCATCTGACCAGACCTTTACTAGGCTCCTGGTGATCAAATTAATAGCAGTAATGGGAATAAGCGTATTGATATTTTTGACTTGGCAATGGTTGGTTAGCGCTGTTGCCTCTCAGCAAGAAGGTTCCTGGTTTGAAACCCCCGTCGGACAGGAACTTTTTTGTCTGGAGTTTGCATAGTCTCACCATGCATGCATGGGAGCTCTCCAGGTACTCTGGCTTGCTCTCATTAGTTCAATTAGTTTATTTGTTAGGCTAATGTGTGTAGATGCAGTAATTTGCAGTAGTTGTGAATATGAAAGTGGTTGGTTGGTTGTCTCTGCATTTGTGCTTTCACGCTTGCACAAAACTCTTGAAAATGTCCTGAAATTTCAAGGGTGAGCTACATGTGTAGTCAGCTGAATTGTTTTTGCAGAGGCTTGAGTAAATGCCCACTTCCCCACCACAAATAATTGTTTTAGCTTCTGGTGGAGAGACTGAATTTCCTCTGTAGAATAGTGAAAAGGTAGTGTGGGTCATGAAAGTGACAATGAGAGTGAACTCCCTGTACTCTCAAAGTCGAGGAAATTGTTGACACAAAATTGTAACAGAATGTCAGTTATATGGAGTTTATTTGCAGGTTGGTCAGCAGTCCCTTCACCTGACATCGTGGCTGTCTGAGCTCAAATTAAACTAATGAACTGTCTGATTTCTTCAGGCTTACTGATGATCACTTTTATATCTAAACTGAAAGATTGTGAAATTGTACATTGTGATAAATTATTGTTTTTTTTAATACAGAGTACAAAATCAAACCCATCAGTTGCCAAATTTATGTTTTCTTTTTCATCATTACTGACGCTGAAGAGGTTGTGTGGCAAACCTGAAAACATGCATGCAGCATGCGCTGCATATAGTCTTGTCAGTGACCTTAACAGGAAATATGGGGAACCTCCACAGGAAATGTCAATGCAACTCGTTGCAGGTTTTCTTTAGAACTGTTGTGACACATTCTGTTTGGCAGACAGACACATGCGCTCGTCTTTTATTAGTTTTAGTATTTTTCTTGTTCTAATGCCAGCTATACAAAGAAGAGTATTTTAAAGAGTACCTTTCCACAACTATAGTTATTAACTTAATCATAGTAATTTTACCTCCAATACTACAAAGTGTTTTACAAGGAAACAAATTAAACCAGATCAAGCTAATAAAATGACAATAGGAACCGGGCTCAAAGTAATAAAGACAATAAAGTCAACAATGTCAGAAGAATATACATTTAAAAAGTATACAGTACCATCACAGTAGTGCATGAGACCATGTGCATTAACACATTTGTGCATGAGCAGGGTACACTAAACCCCATCCACCTCCCCAACTGCATTTTTCCTTAGAACTATTCTGAAATAAATGTGTGATCTTTCCTCTACAGTTGTACTGTGGGTCATGGTACAGAGTGTGTGCCTTAGTGAAGCTACTCTAACGCTCTCTTAATGTCTTTTGCTCGTATAGACGTTTCCTAGCGCGTGCACACACACACACACACACACACACACACACACACACACACACACGTCGTGTCACATAACAGGCATTTTCTGTTTTCATTATACCCCATGATGTTTTCCAAAAGCTTCTAGCCACTCATAAATCGGATCATTGCACCCATTGGTCCCTTCTCTCCCATTTTCCTCATCTTACCTCTCTTTGTCTCTCATGTTTCACCCCCCTCTTTCCAGCTGGCTCTGTGCTCTCTCTCTCTCCTCTTTAGTCTGAAATGAGATGGGTTCCTCATGGTGGACAGTGTGCTAATCCCTGAACACTCACAGGGGACTAATCGGACTCATTAACTCTGACTCTGATGCTTCCAGCCAGAGATGAGCACTAATCCTACTTCAGTGCAGCCTCGGCTGTGGATGTTATAAATGCTCTTTCTCTTTCTCCTTTCCTGTGCTGCTTTATTCATTCAAGCTATGAAAGATATCACAGTTTTCAGATTTATTTGAACTTGTTGTTGTTGATGTTTGGGTAACAAATATGAAAAGCCTTTGATCTGGCAGTATTTTTGTTGTTGTTCCAATACCAGTATTGTGAATGCCCCAGCTGAAGGCTTAAATGCAGGCAGTGTATGCATGCACTGATTAGATCTAGATACTGTACCATTCTTATCTCAAATTAAGACAGCTTTTCAGCAGACAACAAAGACAACAAGTTGAGCTGTACTGCTGTTCAAAACTGTTCGGATTTACGCTACTGCCAGAAACCAGCAACAG